CATTTCAGTGTTGACTTCAAACCTATTTTTTCTAATGCCCTGTCCAAGGATTTCTAAAGGGTTTACTCAACAAATTCCCTCCTATTGTCTTTTTTGTCATATAGAGTTGCTTCTTTGGTCACTATTATGTCTGCCCACTGTGATGTACCATTTATTAGATTCATTCTGATAAGGTTGTGTTGTGACCAAGTTTAGAATTCCGCCCTAAGATGCTTTCAAAGTTTCACCTTTCACAAGGCATTGTTTTGCCTATCTTCTTCCAAAGCCCTTCCTCTGTTGCAGAACAATTAATGTATACATTAGACCTGAGGAGAGCTTTATTGTTTTATTTAGACCACACTTCACATTTTAGGCAAACAGCCCAATTGTTTATTTCTTTTTCGGGCCCAAAGAGGGGACGAGGTATCTCTGCACAGTCCATGTCCAAATGGATAACAGCAGCCATTCGACTGTCTTATGAGGCCGCACATTTCCCATGCCCCTTTCCTCTCCGAGCTCATTCGACCAAGGCTCAGGCATCGTCTGCAGCATCCCAGGCAGTGGTGGACGTCTTGGAGATCTGCAGGGCTGTGACATGGTCCTCACAGTTGACTTTTATTAAACATTATTCAATTGATGTTAAATCTCAAGCAGAAGCGGCTGTGGGAAAAGCAGTTTTGCATTCATATTTAAATACACTCTGAAACAGCCCACACCTGCCTCCAGTGTTTATAGCTTGCTAATCTCCCATGTGGGACTGCACAGAAGACACGCTGATGAAAACATGGTTGCACATACCTGTAACTGATGTTCATCGAGTGTCTTCTGTGCAGGGACACATACCTTCCTCCTTCCCCACTGTGGGCTATAGACAAACTTTGAACTTTCCTACGGCAGCAGGCAAGGGCTGAGGGAATAGTGCCTCCCTCTCCCCTCCTCATGTGACCAAATGGGCGGGAAAAACAAGCTACAGCTCTCCTCTAGGAGGGGAGGGGGAGCACTCAATCTAATAGTTTCTAGAAGCTCTTGGAACCTTCTCCCGCAGCAGGCCTGCCCTCAGGCAGTCCCATGTGGGGCTGCACAGAAGACACTCGAACATCAGTTACAGGTAAGTGCAGCCATGTTTTAAAGTATGTTTTATTCTGCTGTCCATTACTGTAATAAATTATTGCCTGAGGCTTTAAATTTGGGAATGGGCTCCCACTCCGTCCAGAGAAAATGGATATTGTGGTGGGAGGCACTGAGTGGGCCTGGCCTTGATTAGGTTACAGGTCTGCTAAAATTGTGGACTTTGCTTTGCTCTTGAATTCCCTGATGCTGGCAGTGCTCTTTCCCCCACCCAGCTGCAGCCTTTTCCCCAGCATTCCTCTATCTGTACCCTCTGTTGGAAGACTGAGATCATCATCATCATCATCATCATCATCATCATCATCATCATCATTTATTACGGTCAAAGACCCATCAAACAGCATACAGGATCAAAAAAGCAAACCCAGGTTACCAAAACATTACAGAGAGGAGACATCATAAAGAGTATTAAGGAGGAGCTTGCGCTTTGCAAATGCAATAAAAAGAAATTTAGCAACATTCCTTGATATTGCAATGGATTTGTCCTCCAATAGATATTTCAGCACAAGTTCCTCAGAATGGTTTGCTAGTTGTCTTTGGACCCTAAGTTACCTTAATATAGGTGTAATTAAGAGGGCTCTTTCTTCTGCATAATAAGAGCAATAAAATAAAATATGGGGGAGGGTCTCTATTGACTCAGAGGAGCATGAACAAAGTCTCAAATGCCTTGGGATACGTTGGAATCTTCCAGAAAGAACTGCCGATGGAAAAGCATCAAATCTGGCTCTGGAGAAAGCCCATCTATGATTTGGGTTGGAGATATTAGCTAAATATTGAGGAGTGGTCATATAAATTTCGGGTTTCAGAGATTTATAGAGCGGCGGAGTTGCGGCGTGAGTTGTTTGCAGCTCAATATCTCTGAGACGTTGAGTGACAATAGATTTTGCCCTGACATAGCCGCTTTCCAAAAGTTGGTACGGGTCTAAACCTAAAGTTCTCAATTTGTTAGTGGCTCTAGTGAACCACTGGGGATAGGGAGATGCGGCCAATAGGTATGGAAATAGCCCAGCGGGGACCAGGTGGACTTTCAACCAGAAGCAGAGAGAATGCAACCATATATTCAGTTCGACTGTACTGAGACCAGCTTCTTGTCTCAAAATGACGTTGGAAGTACATCTTGGAGTATTAAATAAAGATCTCAGGAATTTTGATTGGACTAGTTCTAACGCCTGAAGATTTGTAAATCGCATAATTTGTGTCCCATATCTCATTTGAGCTAAAACTTTAGCAGAAAAGAGTTTCAAGGCAGCTGGAATGAAGTGTGCACCATCCTTTCTGAAAAATCTTAGTATAGCAGAAGCAGTTCTTTCCGCCGAAATAGCCACTGATTTGATGTGAGCTGCAGGGTTACCATTATATGCAAATGTAACCCCTAAGTATTTAAAGAACTTAACTTGCTCAACATCATTCCCATTTACTTTCCAGGTGTATTTTTTTTTGCCTCTGATTAGAACACATTGTTTTTGTTTTGGAGAAATTAATTGAAAGCAAATTTTCCTGACAGTGGCTAGAGAGGGATGTAAGTGCTCGCTTTAGACCTATTCTGGTCAGAGATAAAAGAACTGTGTCATCTGCATACATAAGAACAGGTACCTTATATTCGAAGTTGAGTTTGGGTGCGTGAACATCGATGTTACGCAGATTGGATATAAGAGAGTTCACATAGAAATTAAACAAAAATGGGGCTAACGGACAGCCCTGTCTAACACCCCTCCTCAGCTGAATAGGTTTGGATAGTCTACCGTCTGAGGAATATTTTACCTGAAGAGTGTTATTGCTATGGAGATTTATTAACAAATGGAGAAGCCTTTTGTCTATGGTGGTAGAATTCAATTTTGACCATAATGTCACATGGGAAGACCGAGATCTTTTGGTTGCTCTCCATATCTTACTGTGCAATCCTGTGCAGAGTTAGTCCAGTCTATGCCAACTGAAATCAGTAACTTTGCAAAGGATTGCACTCTGCATAAGGTTACGCTCTTAGTGATCTGAAGATTAAAGTATTGTGCTCTGCCTAAGGCTGCCCTAGGAGCTTATATGGAAACTTCAGCTAGTTCAGAATGCCAGAGATGACGATTTGTCTGGCATTAAGAGAGAGGTCATACCACAATGTGTGTTGGCTTTCTGTATGTTTCTGGGCCAAATTCAAGATGCTAGATTTGGCCTAAGGACATAAGCAGTTTGAGTCCTAGGTATCAGACAGTGTCTACTCCTGTATGAATAATTTTGTGTCATATAAGATGAGTGGGAGAGGCCTCCTCCAAATTCCATCTGGCAGTTAGGCCAGGTTTATCTCCATGAGCAGCCCGGTCTCCTTTGTGGTAGCACCAGAGCTCTGAAATGCCCTCCCCAATGACATCCACCTGGCTCTAAGAGAGACATTTCAGATGAGCCTGAAAACATTTTTGTTTACAATAGCCTTATAAGTTGTTCTTCCCTGATGTATGTTCTGTTATTGTCACTGGTGAGTTCTAATTGCCATGTTTTGGTTGCTGTGTTTTTTAATTGTTATATGGTTTATTTTTGTACTTCCCAATGTTGATGTTGCATTTATAATTTTCACTTTTTCTGTTTGTTGCTTTGAAATGCATGAAAAGCAGGTTAGGAAATGTATAAATCATTGGAAAACAGGGAAGCCAGTCAAAAGCTGGCCAACAGGCAGCCCAATGTGCAAAGCTTCCACATTGCAATTGCATTTGCCCCTTGAGCATTGATAACTAATCATAGGTACACATTATTTATAAACTGGGAATTGAAAATTCTATTTGTGTGTATGTGTATATAAAATATGTGTGCATTATATAGAGAGATTACCAGAACTCCCAAGTGCTGCAGCAGATAAAAATTCTCACTCCACCCTGATACAGCCCAGACATTGTACCAAAACAAATCACATGAGCTGCTCTAGGTAATTAGGCCCCAGAATTTTATGTTCCCCCATGGCCCTGGTGTTTTCCTTTGTGTTAAATAAGCAACATTATTCACTTGCAGTGGTGTGTTCATATTATAAACTATCACTGGTGTGAATGGTCAGTTAATCTTAGGCTAGAGCTGTACATTTATTCACACTTATCTGGGAATGTCCCACTGAATTCAGGGGGCCATTTCTGAGTATATGTATGAACAAGATTGGCTTATTAGGCTGTGTGGACTCTGTGGCTTACACTGTTCTCTTACATTCAGATGCCAACAGGTCGCATTTTATTTGTGACATTAGGCCGAAATCCTCAGGTTTATACTTCCTCCCTCTCTCATTTCCTTATGGATTCATCAAGACTGAAGACTTCCTGATTTTAGGAAGTCTTTAGGAAGTTGTTGCGATGTTCAGATTTGGGTGTTGTAAACAACTTGAGTTTAGTTTATGCCTGCAAATGGGATTCTTAATATTTCATCCCAGTTTATAATCCTGGTTTGTGGGCAAGAAGCAAGTCCTAAACCATGAAGTCCTGCTGTAGGATATGAAGGGATTGGATTGGGAGGGATTGCAGAAGCCTAAAGATTTCAGACTTGTTTACATTACAAATTGGAGTGATTTGTGACTGGCTGCTTTCACACATGTGGCTTTTGTGATTAACAGTGCTAAGTGGAGTTACACCCTTCTAAACCCGTTGAAACGGGCTGAATCCTAAACATACAAAATCCCCTTGGATTCAGTGGGATTGCTACTTGAATAAACTCATTAAGGCTCAGATGGCAAGAATAATAGGTAGGATGTTATAGGATTAAAAAAGTTACACATATATATATTAAAATAGTGGGGGTAACTTCAACATATTTTAAAGTTCTTTATCTGAAATATTGTTGTCTGTATTTTTCAAATTAAACTAGCCTTTACATTAGATCCGTGCTGATGAAATACTGATTTTGGCCCATTTTAACAATCTCTCATACAGGTGTTCTTCAAATGATGCAGACAAGAATAGGTGCCCTACAAAGCACCGTTGACCGGTATGTCACCTCTCAAATATAAATAAAAATATTAACTTCTTATGTACCACCAAGGTTTCTAAAAAATGCTTTCATTTTTCATTAGGATCAGAACCAAAATTATTGATCCGTACAACAAAATAGTGTCTCGTACTGCACAGTTGGCAAGGCTTCAGGTAAGCCGTCTCTTGTATTTTGTCCCTTATTCCCCAGCCAATACCTTTCTTTTGGTTGTAAAAAAATGCCATGAGTTCAGCTATAGCATTTCAGAGAGTTATGAATCTGCCCGTGCTGCAGGCAGGAAGCATTTCTTACAGAAAGGAATGTAATAATTTTGAGAACAGCAGAAGTGTTTCTTAGGAAGTGCTCTTGCAATATCAACATAGGAGCTGATCCATGTACAAGAATTAATTGTAGCCAGATGTAACTGTATAGTCTTTCCAGTGGCTGAATGCAGAGTGTTGCTATGGTTACTGTTTAATGTGGGGTGGGGAAAGGTCAGTGACACACTGAGGATGTGTTCTGAACACATCGACAATCTTTGATGGGAGAGGCATAAGCCAAATAGAGCTGCTCATTACAGAAGGGTACAAACAGAGTGGATGCACTTCAGAGAGCTGCAGTAGGAAGGGTTAATCCGCAGAAATCCCCCCCCCCCCCCCCACACACACACACTTGCATGGAGCTGCTGTTTTGGTCATGGAAGAGCTTTCGCAAGAAGGACAGAGATAGCAATGCACATTGTTCCTTAACTTGCAGCCCTCTGTGCTGCACCCTGCTAACCTCCCAGGTGTCCTCCAGCCCTTTGGAAGCGGTTCAACATAGGGAGAGATAGAGTGTTCCCTATTCTAAGGTGTTGGCAAAAAAGCACAGACTATTGGTATATCTCAAGGGTACTGAGTTGGATCTAATGACTTGTTTGTGGAACAAGTTTACAGAAAGTTATTTTTCTTAAGATCGTAATTGTGCTGTATTTCCTGTTATTTAGCTATAGGTCCCTTTTGATTCCTGAAGGTTAGGCACACTGAAAATGTGACGTTTCCTGAGTTATAAGATTGATGCAGTTCAGAGCTAGCTAAGCTTAGCTGTTCTTCTTTGGAGCTGACTGAAGGAGTTTTGGCTTGTACAGCAGCCTTAGTGTATGCTCTGTTTCACCCAATTACAAAAAGGCTCGTGTGGCTTTGTCCTAGCATTTCAGTTTTGCTTGATCTGTTATTTGGCACGCTTTGGTTCCTTGGGAACTCCTGAAGTAGTACAGCTGGGTTTTTTTACTCACCCAGAAATTCAAAAGTTTCACTGCCTTGTGTCAATTCTTGCACTTGTTTACACTGAGCTTAAAATGTTTCTTTGTATTTTATGTTTGGGAAAAAATAATCTGCAGGTACTTTTTCAGTAGTATACAGTTTGCATTCTTGACAGTTATAAGTCTAGATTCAGGTGGGTAGCTATGTTGGTCTAAAGCAAAAGAACAAAGTATGAGTTCAGTGGCATCTTTAAGAACAACAAAGTTTAATTCTTGGTATACGTTTTTGTGTGGATGCACACTTCTTCAGATACCTTGAAAAAAACTTCCTCACTCATTACATATAGGTAGAGAGAGGATGGGATGGGTGTTAGTTACCAGGAAGGGCTAATTAGAGTCAAGATGCATAAGTAACTGATAAATATAGCTAAGGCCCCTGCCACACGCAGGGGAAAAGGCGCTTGAAGGCGCGGCTTTTAAAAGCCGCGCCAATGTTGACACGGCGCGGCGGGATCCCCCGGATCCCCCGGCCGCGCCGCCTTTTCTCCCCGGCGCGATCAAACGCCGGGGAGAAAACACGCCCTACCCGGGGGCCGGCCGAACTGCGCATGTCCGGGCATGCGCAGTTTGGATCCGGGCCGGGGTTGAGCTGGCGCAGGGAAGCGGCGGCGATCAAACACCCTGGTTGCCGCGCCGCTTCCCTTTAAACCACCTAGATAGGTGGTTCAGTTTGCGCCGGCTCATCCCGGGAAAGGGACAGTTTGGGTACGGAAGCCGGACGCTTCCCAGATGTTGTGGTGTGATCGCACCGGTTTGATCCGGCCCCAAACTGTCCTGCTCCCGGACCAAATCGGTGAGTGTGAACGGGACCTAAGATTAGATTAGCGCAGTGAATACCAGCAAATTAGCATACAGATAATAAGTTAACAAACAGATATAAGAACTAAGTTTGAGTCCAGTGGTACCTTTAAGACCAACAAAGTTTAATTCTGGTTATAAGTGAGAACTGAGTTACATAGCACATGTAGTGAGATAAGAACCCAATATCTCTGTTAGGCCCTGTGGGTTCCATTGTCCTGAGTGTTGTAATAACTTGTAATTCAGCAATCTCCCGATTCAGTCTGTTTCTGAAATTCCTTTGCAAAAAAAGTTATAAGGCTACATTCACAGTCAATGTCTGGGATAAAGAAATCTTACATAGAAATCTAATGAAATGGAGGAGGGTTTTTTCCACTGGGCACCTTTAGCTGAAGTACAAATCTTAGATTTATTTTTTTAAATTGTATTATAAAACATATATGCCAAACACAGAGATTCTTCCCCCACACTCAGCCTAGGCTTTAGCTGTCATACATAGGGATCCTCATGGTTACTGTCAGTTTTGCTGATATATTGTGATTCTGTGTGCACTGTGATTCTATATGACTTGATCTCCACTGTAGAGTTTCAAACATTGGAAACCTACAGAGAAGAACTAATAGTTCTCATCTCTGTAAAAGCTTTATAGAGCTGGTGTATCTTTTGTCGTATATTTGAAAAAACTTGTTAAATGATTGCAGAAGCCTCTGGCATTTTGACCCCTCCATCCCCCTATGTACAGCTTTTCCATGGTGTTATCTGTCATAGCTTGGATGGATATAAGTACTGTAATTTATTTACTGGGCCTGAGTGATGGTACCTGTCACATCAATTGGGAGGCTGCTGATGAGAAAGGAAGGACCCAGATGCAGTATTCATACATGCCCAAGTAGTGAGGGGCAGCATAATCAAGAAATGGCACCCATACCACTTGGTGTGCTTGCGAAGCATTAACATAAAAATATTTAAATGAAATTTTAAAAAAATAAATCCAGCTTCTGAATTAAAAATGCTTTTTATTTACCCTAATGTGAAGTTGTTGTCTATATTGTACTGATTTGAGAAATTCTGCACACAGAAGTCATTTTTCATTGCATAGACATTGGAGGTTTGACACAGAATAAGAGCAACTGTGAATTTGGGGGTCTGGTTCTGCTGGTGTTGAAGTTAGTTACTTAACCTCCTGATGGTTCTAACAGAGCAGAATTTCAGCCTTTGTGTTCTCTTACTGTGTATTTATGACTAAATGCCCTTATCTCTAGTTACAGCCTTTCAGAGAAAGGAAACGATATCTATATATCTATATCTAAATTGGTTGCAGTTAATGATGTGTATTGTATATATATGCCAGATGATATCAAGCCCAGGACTGAACTGATCCACCTTGCATTGTAAGCCCAGAAATGCATGCAGTGTTTTCCACAGCCTGTGCTTCAAACTGTGAAATGATGCAACATGTTGAATATGTTCTTCCTCTCAAGGCTGCCTGTGACTTGCTGCGGAGAATAATACGCATCTTGTATCTCAGCAAGAGGCTTCAAGGGCAGCTGCAGGGAGGAAGCCGGGAGATAACAAAAGCTGCTCAGAGTCTCAATGAGCTTGGTGAGTCTCCTTGGTCATTTCAGTGGCTTTCTGTTTGCTAACATTTTAAGCTCCTTTGATATCTAAACTGTAAATTCCCATTCATTTGGGGAGTCATTGGAATGCATAGCAGACAAAGTTCCTCTTACTTGTGGTGCATTTGGGAATACTGGAAACGCCAGTGGTGTTGACTTCCTCTGTTTCTAATGGCTGAGAAATTGGTTGGTTGGTGCAGATCAGTTTTTGAATTACTTTTGAGCCTTGGTTAGAGGTTTCCAGTGTCAGCATTTTTGTTTTCTGACGCTGCTGAGTAGCCATGTAAATATGATTACATCATGTGTGGGATCCCAAAAGCCATCAGCTTAAAGCATTTCCATGTGTGGGGTTTTTTTTTATTTTTTATTTTTTGCATTTGACCATGTCCCCTTGTGTTGTGTTGAGTGCTGTGCTGGAGCATTTTATATCCCAGTCCATAGTCTGAAAGTATGTTCTTTCTCTTACTTCAAAAAGGAATCAAAATTGAAAACTGTGCTAAATTAGATTTTTTCTCTCATGCCTGGCATAGCATCTTATTTTAGCTGGGGCATCACAAAGATGTACTTCAAAAGCTATAGTTATAGTGCTGTAGCTGAGAAGTGGTGTAACTGATTTTTTTATTTATTTAAGGAATGTACATACTGTCTTCCAACATAAAAGAAAGCCCTTGAAACAGTTTACAATGCAATATAATCACAATACATCAGTGGAAAACATCACTAACTGCCAATCTAATTCTCATTTCAAGCTCAGGAAAAGAGGGCAGACTTGGCCCAATATTTGATAATGGCAGAGACTCTGCCTGGCAGACCTCCATAGAAAATAATTCCCAGAACCTCAAAGAGGTCCCTTTCAGCTGAAACCTAACTGGGTAACTGTGGAAACACAGGGTAACTGTGGCCAGATCATCTCATTTCAGAAGGGGATGCTACTGGTTCTCATTTCAACCTGGCAAAAAGTGTTGCTTACACTAGGTGTTGTTTGAACATCCATATGCAAAGCTGGATCCCAAGAGCACCCCCAAGATGCATACCCAATTTGGGGCTGCGGTGGACAGTGCAACCCCATCAAAACCAGCTACACACCACCTGCCGGGTCTGTTGGGCCTACAACACCCGAGTCTTACTTGCATTGTGCTTTTCTGTGTTAACCCTCATCTGGCCAGTTGCTGTCTCCAAACAGCTATTTGTGATATCTTTATTTATTTAATTAAAACACTTATTAGCCACCTTTCTTCCATATGGAGCTCAAAGTGGTTTACAATGTAGATAAAATAAAATACATAAAAACCATAAGAACCAACATTTTAAAATCAGAATTCAAGACTGCTAGTAAACTTAACCAAATGTGGTCCTAAATAAACCATCTTCAACTGCCTTCTAAAGATTGAAAGTGTGGGGCCAGGCATATCTGTCTGGGGAAGTTGTTCCATAATCATGGGGCTGCTGAGGGTGAGGCAGGGCCAGCAGACTGGCTTCCCACCATAAGAAAGGGACTGCAGGCTTACATTAAAAGGACAGCACTCTTTAGTTGTGCATGTAAAGAAGAGTAAATAAAGGGCTCATGGCAGCTGATGATGAGGGTGGACAAAATGGGAAATACCATGTAAGAGAGCCAGTTTGGTGTAGCGATTAAGAGTGTGGACTCTAATCTTGGAGAACTGGGTTTGATTCCCCAATCCTCCACCTGCAGCTGTGGGTGCGACCTTGGGTCAGTCACAAGTTCCTTCAGAGCAGTTCTCTCAAGGGAAGTTCTTGAAAGAGCTCTCTCTCAGCCCCACCTACCCCACAGGGTGTCTGTTGTGGGAGGGAAGGGAAAGGAGATTGTAAGCTGCTCTGAGACACTGAGTGAAGGGCAGGGTATAAATCCAATCTCCTCTTCCTCCTCCTCCCCCACCCCCCACTGAGGTGCCATTGAGCACAAGTGGGACACCTCAGTTGCCCCTGGACTGTGTAAAAGGAAGGGGGGGAAGGGTTGGGTGTCATCTGCATGCTGATGTCTCTTCAGCTACTTTATTTTTGTTACTGCCACCAATGTTTATATACTAAATGGGAATACTTACTTACTTCTTGATTAATGTTTTCACAACCAGAGTCATAAACAGCAAACTCTCACCCCACAAAAGGAGAGCCTAAAATTTACTACCAAAGTTACCATGTAGCTTAACAACAGCTGCCGAAAATTTCGCCACACACAAAGAAGTTTTTTAATCTCTGAGTATCCAAGATGATTTAGCTTTTGAAGAGATAAAGTCCTGATTAAGTAATGGAGAGATCCATTCAGTTCTTAGATCTGAACATTTGGGGTAGTCAAAAAGAATATGATCCATAGAATCGATTTTGTTACTGCCACATTTGCAGATTCTATTTGAAAATGGAGTTCCCATCATCACTGCTGAAGGTAGAGCATTCAGGCACTTAAGCATGAATGCCCTTCTATACTTTGGAAGAGTTAGCTCAGATAGATTGGCGTTTTTGTTAGAGGGAGAATGCCTACTGAGAAAGATGAACACACTCTATTTATTTTTTATTTATCATTCAATTTGTAGGCCGCCCTCCCCGCCAAGCAGGCTGAGGGCGGCTAACAACAAGGCGCACATGCCGGTATATAAAACAAGATAAAACACACAAGTACAATATATACAAATTAAAGTGCTTCAAGATGGTTACAAATGATGATCTTCCATTTAGAGATGGTATTCGGAGGATACTTAGATCTTAAACTCAGTGGTTTCCGCGCGCCATAGTGCCACAGTTTGATTGTCACGGGCCATTCCAATACCGCACTGTTTCCAAGTTCGTTGGTGGTGGTAGTGGCGGTTCCTACTCGAAAGCCTGGCGGAAGAGCTCTGTCTTGCAGGCCCTGCAGAACTGTGTAATGTCCCGCAGGGCCCTGATCTCCTCCGGGAGCTCGTTCCACCAGGTAGGAGCCGCCACCGAAAAGGCTTTGGCCCTAGTAACAGCCAGCCTGGCCTCCTTGGGGCCTGGTGTCACCAACAGATGTTGCGTCCCCAATCGTAGTGCCCTGGGGGGCATGTACGGGGAAAGGCGGTCCCTCAGGTATGTCGGGCCCTGGCCGTAAAGGGCTTTAAAAGTAAGAACCAGCACTTTGAAACGAATCTGGTATGCTATTGTCAGCCAATGCAGCGCTTTTAGCACAGGGTGGATGTGCTCCCGCCTAGGAAGACACATCAAAAGCCTGGCTGCAGCATTCTGCACTAGCTGCAGCTTCTGGATCTGCGACAAAGGCAGCCCCATGTAGGGGGACAGTAGTCCAGCCTCGAGGTGACCGTTGCATGGATCACTGTGGCCAGGTCATCGCGGTCGAGGAAAGGGACCAACTGCCGAGCCAACTGCCGACTTGGCAGTGGCTGCCACCTGGGCCTCCATGGTTAGAGAGGAGTCCAGGAGCACTCCCAAACTCCTAACCTCCGGTGCTGGCACCAAAGGCGCCCCATCGAAGGTTGGGACAGGGATCAACATGCTAGAATCTTAGAATCATAGGGTTGGAAGGGACCTTCAGGATAATCTAGTCCAATCCCCTGCACAATGCAGGAAATTCACAAATACCTCCCCCTCCACACCCGCAGTGACTGCTGTTCCACACCCAGAAGATGACAAAAAACCTCCAGGATCCCTGGCCAAAGTGGCCTGGAGAAAAATTGCTTCATGAGCAAAGTGGCAATCAGCATTTCCCTGGGCGTGTAAGAAAGGGCTACAAGAACTAAGCACTGAAGCAACCCTTCCTGTCCTCCCTTTCATGATCTGCCTAAATTCACACAATCAGCATAATCAAAGTCCCTTAGACGTCTTCTAATGAGCTGGATTAATTCTTGTTTACTCATTGTTTCTGTCACATCATGGGCAATGCTCAAATGTGATAATTTATCATCCAGTAATCTGTCCCAGTTACTTGTGTTATGGTCCAATTTGACCAGTCTGAGGAGGCTTGATTCTGGATTTGATTTTAGGATCCCAACTTTCATATTGAATGCTCTGCCTCAGGCTTTTGCTTCAAAGGACATTTACTTCGGCTCTCGGAACTATTCCAGGCACACATTGAAGGTTTCCCAAAATATTATATAGGATTTTAAATAGTCATCTGTTGATGTTTTATGTTACTGCTCTGATCCAAACCCCGGCATCATATAACATCTGCCCTGAGACTTTAGCATTAAATAAATTAACTGCCACAGGAACATATTGACCACCAGAGAAGAAATAAAATCTTGAAATGGCCTTCCTAATACTCATAGCAACTCTTACAACAGAGTTAGTGCACCTTCCAAGAGAGGCTTGTTTGAAAAATAACTCCTAGATATTTGAAATGTTCCACTTGCTCCATGGATTGACCTGCTGCTGACCAGTCATACTTTTTTATCCTTTGTTTTTAACTGAAAAGAAGAACCTTTGACTTAATAACCTTAATAGCTAAGCCCTCATTGGAACAATACTGCAAAAAGGAACATATAAGCTTACAATGGCCTTGACAGGAGATCTTGACAAGAGAGTGGTATCATCTGCATATAAAAGACAAGATAATTTAACATGAGCCGGTCAACATGAGTGAAATTCATCTCTAGAAATATGAGAACTGAAATCATTGATATATAAGTTAAATAACAATGGAGCAAAGATACATCCTTGCTTGACTCCTTTACTCAATGGAATATCCCTGGTCAGTTCACCAGATGGACTGTATCTCACCTGGGCAGTAGGCTGATCATATAGTTATTGGATCAGAAAAAGATGCTCATTGATAGATTATTTATTCAGTGTGTCCCATAATCTTTGCCTAGGCACTGAGTCAAAAGCTGCTCTGAGATCCATAAAGGCAACAGGTAACATACCATCTTTTGAGCTCATATACTTGTCTACAATAAAGTGAAGTGTATGGCAATGGTCAACTGCACTAATTCTTTTACGGAATCTGGCTTGCTCTTGACCAGTGTGGCTTCATCCTCAATCCAGAGAAGTAACTTTTTT